TCTGGAATGGACCAGGGAATTACGGGTTCGGCAAGGAACAAACGGAATGAGAGGAGGAACGGAGAAAGGCATTTGAGAATGGGCCGATCAAAGATTACGAAAAACGTTCAATTTCTGTAATCTTTATTCCCGTTTGTGACATCCATGAGCCGAATTGTCTTGACTCTCAGTATAAAGGGACTCTAGTAGAGAATTGGCATCTCAATCCTTTTACAGGAAAACTTTGCCGCTCTCAGATAGGTCGGCAAGTTTGAGACTATCATAGATGCCCCTCCGCTCCTAGCTTTGGACCAAAACGGTGTATCAGGATATCGTCAGAGTTTTATATGGAATGAAAATTCTCCAATGTCCAATTTCTGAAGCAAACTTTGATCATTTTCGCCTAGAATACTCTTTTTCCATGGACATTATTCATTTCTTCCTTCATGATACAAATTTCTCTGGATTGGGTGTATTTACTCCTTTCCTTCTCGGTTCTTACTCCTTGAGACTCCTTCGTTTATGCATTATACTGACATCCTCAAACTAGGTCAATTGATGAATAATTGAGATGCGGAATGCTTATAGGCCAATCAAAAACTAGGATGTTATTGTCACATTAAGGTGAATCATCCTCACTGTTTGAGACACATGGACCATTCGGAAGTGTGTTCTGCCATTGTTTGGTCGCTCAAATTTTTAGGGTGGTTAACGGTTTTCACTTGCATTAGTTCTTGCCATGCCAGTGCTATTGCAATTCAGTTGTTGTAATGTGTCTGTCGCAGGCAAATAGTAAAATCAGGCATTTTGTCAAATGCCTAGGCAAATAGTCAAATATTTTAACTTAGAGCGAAATTCTAATTCTTTTCCTAATTTCAGACAAAATAATTCATTGCTCCTGCAAGAAAAAATTTTCAATAAAAATTTGCACACACACACACTAGTATTTTAAACAATTTTTAGCTCCTGAATAGTCACTGATCTTGAAATTTTCAGCATGTCGTAACATTTAAAAATGAGAGAGGCAATTGAAGAGGAAAAGACAATAAGAGTTCGTAGGTTTGATGAGTTATTTTTCCAAAAATAGTGAAAAATCGTGAGCTCTTCGCCATAAATACACAAAATTGTGTAAACCGTCAAAATTTGACTATCTGTCTAGGCATTTGACAAAATGCCTGATTTCACTATTGGCCTGCGACATGTCCAAAGTTAACAGAAATCAAGTCGCATTTTCGAGGAAAATAGTAAATGGTGAATTTATCCTCAGCCTTAAAATATCCTACCAAAAAACAAAACCCACGATAATTTATAACATTCCAATTTTGGGGATCATATGTATGTGTCGCAGACAAATAGTAAAATCAGGCATTTTGTCAAATGCCTAGGCAAATAATCAAATAAATTGACTTAGATTGAAATTTTGATTCTTTTCCTAATTTTAGACAAAATATGTGATTGCTCCCGTAAGAAAAAATTATCAGTAAAAATTTGCGTCACGCAATAGTATTTTAAATGATTTTTAGCTCCTGAGCGGACACTTATCTGGAAATTTGCAGCATGTTATAAAAACAGTAATTTTAGAATTCCAACGTTTAAAAATATGAGAAGCTATCGGAGAGGCATAGACAAAAAGAGTTCGTAGGTTTGATGAGTTATTATTTCCTAAAATATTGAAAACTCGTGAGATCTCCGCCATAAATTCACAAAATTTTTTAGACCTTCAAAATTTAACTAACTGCCTAGGCATTTGATAAAATGCCTGATTTTACTATTTGCCTGCGACATATGTCCATATGGTAACTCAGAGTATTACGAGGAAGAAATGTCCTCCTATCTTTCCAGACTAGATTCCTATCCGTAAACTTCAGATCATGTTGTCGGCGAATTTGGGGATGTGAAATCAGCAGCATGCATAAATGGACGTATTTCTATCAAACGGAACTATGTGCATTATGACATGAGCCCTGTTATGCACATATTCTTATGAGTCTCAGGGCTCATGTCTTAATGCACATAGTTCCGTTTGATAGAAATACGTTCAAATGTCAAGACAGAATATTCAGATACGATACCGATGGTATGTTCGTTGATCCCTCACAATCGAATGACATCTCATTGATCTATCAATTGGTGTAAGCTCTTATGATCAAAGTAGACGCTCAAAGTGAGATTGAGTTGGAGGTTAACAAGCAACGCCAATGAGAATTACGAGACCCGTGTTCGATTGATGACTCGAACTTGGACTCATTATGATTACGTTCCTGCTTTGATCTTCTAACGGACCACATGCAACCTAAGAGACACCGTAAGGGATATCCACGATTGATTCCACCAACTCCTCCCTCCCTTATTGTCAGTCTCTGCGAATTGCCCTAAGTTTTCTTTTTAATCTTGCTTGTTTCAATTCGAATTTACTATCGTTGTTTCAGATCCATTCAGAAGAGTCCATTGCAATCGTCAAGCTCAAAATCCAGGAAAACAGATTGGATTGCTTTTGGTAAGTGAAGGATTTTGTTATTCGGGTTTTTGTGAATACATTTTTGAGACCTAAAGATATTTGGACGTCTCAATCATGGGTGAAACTTATCTGAATTGGTGACGCTACTCGGAGCTCATAATCATGGAATCTCATATGAGGCCTTCTTCAGTTTCTCCTCTCGAATTTCTCTTCTTATACGTTTACCCATGCATGTTTTCCCATCTCAACGCCGATCCCTCCGAACCAATTCAATTTGGCCTCCTGCGCCAAGATGTGCCCCGGTGCTGTAGTTATTGCATCCGTCTTTCACTATTCCTAGGACATTGATGACTTTTCAAATTTTCCCACAAAATTCCAACTTGTGTATGAGCCCTTTTTGAATAAAATCGACAAGAAAAAGGTATTTAAAGGCTACCTCGCCTGAAATAATTATGTAACATTGTAGACGAAATTGAGATTATATTTTATTGCAGTAGTGATTTCCGGTACAACCAGTTTCTCGATACACGACGCGTTCCCTCGAAATCGCAAAAATACGATTTAGCTCACCCGTTCGTGATAGAATACCTTCTATGTAGGCGACAAGAAACATTTTATTGAATACACTTTAGTTCATCAGAACATATGCTTTCATTTCATTTGATTTTCTTCCTCATATCTTGAAAAATTGAACCGTTCGTTCGCCAAACCCAGGAGCCGAAAACTCACGAACCTGAAATTCGGGATACTTGCAGGCAGCTAAGGTCCAAGAGATTTTAAGTTAGAACCTTCCGTAAAATGACGGTCCAATCGTTTTGTCAAATAAACGCGAATACGCGTGTTGAACGCTTGAGTTGTGCAAAATGATGATATTGGAAAGTAATATTAAAACGTCACACATCCATTTGCAGAAAATAAATGAAGCGCTAGACTATCACAAAACAATGCTCTAGATTTAGGAAAATAGGTCATCGTGAGAAACAATACGCAGGCTTCCCCTACTCACACAAATTACTTTTCGCCCATTTAGAAAATTCGAGGCGAACACTCAATAGTTTTCCATATTCGTAACTATTTACGGATCTCGCGAATGAGTGTTCTCGTAAGAGCGCAATTCCAAGCTCGATTTCAAGCTCGATCTCATATTCGTTTATACTTCAGTTATGCACAAAAGATCGCGCAATTTTCAGTGAGATAGTTCAGATGTAAATAGACAATAACCATTAAGCGAAGATTCCAGCCTCTTACCATGATGATAGCATGCGGATTCCATCTGGAACGTGACAATTGCTCGATAAAATCGACGGTAAGATTGCATCTCGCAATTTATTTATGCAGGGAAGTTTTGATTGCGAGGAAAAGGGGTTCTGGAGTTCTTCAATGCATTTGTGCTATTATATACACCCACACACCATCTCTCACCCTCACACACACACCAAAAGAAAAAAAAGAAGAACTCCTCTAGACTGAAAGAAATGGGTTACTTGCGCATGTTACGGAATCATTGCTTAATGGTTGAGTTGCAATGAGACTGTTGATATCATCTCTAAGCGCTGAGTTTCTACTTTCCACATTAAACAGATAATATGGTAAACAAAAAAACAAAACAAAAAAAAAAAGTTGAAAAACGGTTCCTTAATTTCAAACAAAATATTTCCTGCGGCTCAAAGGAGGTGTTTTTGATTTAATGATGGTTAAAGCATTTTTTCATCTGAAAGCTTTATTTTTTTTTTATTTTTGGGCGTGTGTATGTTACTACTCCCGCCTTATATACATCGCGCATATGTATGTTACCACCTTTACGATCGTTTCGACCACCTTCTGATACAGTGTATCGAGACCCTTGGGTGCCTATGAGAAATTGAGTGGCGGGTAAGCTCCGAATCTTTTTAAGCTCGTCAAATAGTTACTGATACTTCCATTGTTAAAGTGCTACATTTTTTTTACATTTCTGTAGTTTTTACCCTAAATATTACAAATGAATGGACTACGCCATCTTGTTTCTTTTTAGTACATAACATACCATGCTGAAGAACAGTTTAGTAATTCAGATGATCCGTCAAAGACATCGGTTTTAGATGGGACTCTTCTTGTTGCATAAGAATGAGTTTCCATAATCAATGTTCGGTTTTTTTACTAAAACGACTAAGCACCATTAAAATTGTAACTACAAGATCTTGCGACAAATCCATTCCCTCAAACGACTAGACAACCTTGTCAGACGAAGTCTTCACCCGGAACAGCACGTAAGTCGTCGTGTCGCATCTAAGACGTAAGAACTTAACTGCATTTGAACATGAGCTCAGGGAAGCATAATGTTATACGGACAACAAAGTTCACGTTAAAAAGATAGTTAGGTCAGCTATAAAGTGTGCAGCGCCGGACTGGCCCGCCGACGAACGCAGGAGGGAATGACAGGTTGCCTACGCGTTCAGGGGTCAGTGGGCCAGGACAAAAATGCTCGTAAAGGCGCGTTCACGCTCCAACGGCCACCGCATCGTTCGTTGGACGGGAGTTTTTATGGCTCGTTGACAGATGGCGATAAACTACCGCTCACGTCTGTATCGCCCATCCTCTTCCATGAAGCCCCCCCCCCCTCCGTTACCAATGCTAGAAGTCTTTTCAGAACAATCTTTTCTCGTGGGAGGTCCTGCTCCTATAGAAAAAGCTAGCTTCATGCTAATTGTCTCGCATCTTCGACGTTTAAATGGTCGGCAGAAATGAAGGGAAACCGAACAGCTTGCTCCGATAAAATCCGCGGGTCATTTCCCAAGACAAATGAGCCAAAAAGAAAATTCTGCAAGGTTCCGAAATTTGTAGTTTAACATAAAAACCTTGCTTCGCAATTCACGACATAACCATAACTCAGCTCTGAGACAACGTTTCTTGGTTCGCGACGTTTACCACAAATAAACAAACGGTTAATAATCTAATTCGGCAATTTAATGCCTTCAATTTAGTGAGTATGCAATCCGCAAATTTGCGGGCCCCGTGTGCCCTCTAGCACCCTAGACAACTGGCAGCTGCGACAGGATTCCGCGAATGCCCTTTTTTTTCCTTTTCGGAGATGCATAGGATTGCGCGAATTTCATCCGTTTCTGAATCTTTACAATGAGGATACATATTTTCCCTTTAATTATGGTAAAATCTGGAGCAGACAGTCTCGAATGATGGCACGCAGTCCTACAGTATTCCTACAGTCTTGTAGGCGCTAATGTGCGCTTCACGCTAACTGACCGACTGCACTGCGTTTGGCGCAATGCGAGAAGTATTCATGCAGTCTTGTAGGCGCTAATATGGGCTCTAAACTGACCGCACTGTTTGGCGCAATGCGTGAAGTATCTCTAAAGTCTTGCAGGCGCTAATACACGTTTAACGCCGGCTGCAGTGTGTTTGGGTCGATTATTCGAACTCGCGTTAGAATAATCGCAACATCGAATAATAGAGCTTGAAAGGCCCGTATTGTGTTTCGACGCCGCATGAGCATTCCAACAGTGTCTCATTTCTCCCGATTAAATATTTTTTCTGAGAAAAGTGAGGAAAGTTCTTTACACCCACAACCATTATTCAATCTTGTCACTTCATTTATCATGAGAAGGTAAAACATCGATGGTTTTGTCAACAAACTAACCTAAACTAGTGTTAACAAAAAATGCGTTTATTTTCCAGCTGTTTCCCGTTTTGCCAAATTTCTACCTTACATTAACTTCATTTCAAGTTTGCGCATTCCTGTAGCAGATGTTAAGGTTTCTATTCGTATCCTTGTGTCTATTCCGCGCAATCCTCATATATTTTCTTGGACCTTTCGCGCAATTTTGGATTACCGAATCCGGCTCTGCGAGTTAATAATCTCACTGAGCATAGCGATAAACAGAAAGGAGTGTAAGGGTTAAAGAGTCGATGGGAAACTCAATTCCATGTGAGGTTATACAATGTCAATGTGGCGCCCGCATCCGGCCGGTGGGTCAGGGGGCGACGATGATCAATCGTAAAAACCCGCAGCGTGTCCTGATTTTGGACGCCACATTTCCATTGGCAAGTCATAAACAGAGATACGTTAAAAGTGAACGGCCTCTTTTGGCATGCTGTGAAAATTGTTCAGTGTGTCATCGCATCAAGGCAGTACCTTCATAGTCGAGGGTCAATGGCTATCTGGTCTTTAATTGTGAATAATGTATAGAGCTCAGCAAGTCGTTGCTGATGAAATGCCTTCAATTTGGAGAGAATACAATAAGCGGGCCCCTTGTGCGTGCCAGCACGCCGCGCCGGCCCGCTAATCCGGCCCTGCTCATGGAAGATCTTATCGTGCTTTGCAGATCATTCAAACAACAATAACTATTTTTCAAACCAGACAAAAAATTTAAAGGAGAAATTTCTTAAACTTTTTTTTTTTTTTTAAAAAAAAAAAAATAAATAAATGTTTTTAGGCAATTATTTGACGAAAGTGGCTCAATGGGGCGTTTTCATTGAACATCATTCACGGTTCGTTTTAAAAAAATTTAATTTTTCTTAAGACCACCCGCGATTTTTTTTTATAAAAGTGTCAAGGAAGGTTTCTAGATTAAGGTATTGAAAACCTCAAAATCGTAAGTGGGGCCGTTTTTTTTATTTTCGACTTTTTCTATTTTTAAGGGTAAAATGGCGAGCGGTCGGGGCTTCCATTCTTTGCGAACATCAGTAAAATGTCTAGATGGTTCTTGTTTACCACTTACTTGTGAATTGAAAAATATTTTTTCTTAATTATTTTTGGATATTCAGAGGGGGGGGGGGGGTTTCCAAATTTTACTCTTTGAGTCAGGAACAATAACCGCGGGAATTTTTTTCGAACCAAATCCGCTCGTCGATTTGTGTGTACATATTTTCATAGATCAGCTGCATTCCCTGATTGAAGTCAAGTGACTTTGACATAGTGCCCCATTGTACGTAAAAATTCTTCAATTCTAGTCTATCAATTGATAATGTCGGTGAAAAATAAGCATTGACTGTTTTTAATCAAATAAAACGAATGGACATTTTCTGGTCAAATTTTGCAATTTCAA